AGAACCCTGGATCACAATACCACTACTAATAATAATCACAATGATTATTATTAACAATTACTACACAGTGAGTACCTATGAAACATTGAATTGCAAACTGTATACTGCTTATCTCATTCAAGCTATACAAAAATAATTATGCCTATTTTAGAGATGAAAATACTGAGGTTTGGAAAGATCACGATCTCGCTGAGTGACAGAGCAAGTGACAGAGCCAAAAGCAAATGCAGGCCTTTCTGATTTCACTCTTAATCAGAAAGCCAACACTTTTGACCACAATGACATCTTTCCTAAGGTGGGCAAGTTTCCACTTCTGTGCTGGAAATCAGAGTTCACCCGGCTAACACAATACAAAAACGAGAGGGCTTCCATTATTTTTCATGCCAGAAGCAAACACCCAAGGGGTTAGGCATCAAAGTGAACTGTCTTGATTTTATCAATTGCCTTTTCTACTCTACTTGCCACTTGAGACTTTGCTGTCCTCTGTGTCCTGACAAACCCGATCTTACCTGGCACAGGAATGTTTTTCAGGATACAATAAAAAAGAAGACTATCACTCCCCATAAGTTAACAGCACTCAGGAGCTTTGCCAAAGGTGTGACTCCCACAGGGCTCGCTGCATCAGGATGCAGAGCTCCGGGGACCTCAACCTCTGTATTTCGTAAGATGCTCCTACCCACCAGAAGAAAGGGGGGACTGGTTAACCCCAATTGAATCTGGCTTTTAAGTATTCTCTCAAACACCTTTCAGGTGGAAAGAAAATCTTAAAAGAATAAAATGAAAAACATCAAGATGTTTGCACATTCACTCAACAAAAGCTGACTGGACAAGTTTAGCTAATAGTACTGTACCAACGTGAATTTCTTCAAGGTGATACACGGAGCATGATTAGGAAGGAGGGTAACACTAGAGGAAGCTGGGTCAAAGGTCTATGGGAATTCTGTCTTATGTTTGCAACTCTTCCTATAAATCTAAAGTTATTTTGAGGGGAGCCTGGGTGGCTCCGTTGGTTAAGCGTCTGACTTTGACTCTGGTCATGATCTCACAGTTCATGGGTTCCAGCCCCGCGTCCAGCTCTGTGCTGACAGCGAGCTCAGAGCCTGGAGCCTGCTTGAGATTCTGTGTCTCCCTCTCTCTCTGATCCTCCCCTGCTCATGCTGTCTCTCTCTCTCTGACTCTCTCTCTCTCTCTCAGAAATAAATAAAAACATTTAAAAAATTTTTAAAAATAAAAAAAGTTATTTTGAAATTAAAGGCTTTAAAGAATGTACCGGCAGGCTGGGTAAGAGATTCCCTACAGCACCATGGAAGACTGACGATTTAGACAGCATCACTGATGAGATGCAGTCACATTGAGAATCTTGAGTCATCAAGTTTGCTCATCAATGAAGTATCACTGGTAGCAACAGCAGAGTCTCTCTAGTCCAAAACCACAAGAATAACATATTTCGCAAACCAAAGCTTTAACAGGAACTTAATAAAAAAGAGTGCCTGGTCATGGAACCTCACATCGGGGCCATAACTATACACTTCTCGGTGAACAGTAAATGTTATGTGTGCCTGTGTGAGAGAGGACAGGGGAGGAAGGGGAAGGGAGAACCGTGAAGAATACATAAGTGACATGAAGCTGAAGCAGACAAGAAAGAAACATCACTCATCTGGGATCAGGTGAAGAATTCACACATGTGTATAAGAAACTAGGTAATACAAATGGAGTGAGTTACTAGGTGCTGGTCCTCACCATAAGGAACTTTTCCTTTTTTTTTTTTTTAACTTTTCCGAAGAAAGTTTCGGAAACACCTATCCAGAGTTATTCACATAAGCCAAGCACTTCAGGGACTTAAACAGCACATTTCTTAATGGGATATCTAAGGCCTACAGACAACTCTACAAGAAACTTTTGAGATGATCAGATCCAGGGTGGAGACCTCTTTCAAGGATGGGAAGGTCTCTTACTCAAGGACATGACCATCTCATCTTCACCTGCAAGGCCAGAAGAAAGTTTTGTACTGTCTAGAGAAACTCTTTTCTGACATGACGACGAAGTGCTGGAGATAATGGGTGAGAAAATATCTCACTGGGTCCCCAAAGGGGAAACCACATTGTCTTTGGATATCATTGCAAGGAGGAGAAACGGCTTTTTGTAAAGATTTAATATAAACCTGCCTGAAAGCACAGAGGAGGAATAAATGGTCGATTTAGGGTCTACTCCAGTTCATGGAATCAAAGCATACATAGCATGTAGCTGCTTTAAAACATTTCTCCAAAGAATAGTTGGTAGAGAGGAATCAGGCATTGTTATTCTAGTAACAGAAAGTGCCAGTCACATCAGGAAACTCTGGTGTAAAAAATCCTTTGACTGATCCAGTTTTCTAACCTTTCCTCCTATTTCAGAGACTTTCTGAGGATGTATAGCCGTGCACCTGCAATTCAGGAGACAGCTGATCTGACACTCAGCTCTGATTTCTTTTCCAGTAAGACAACTGAGGTAAATTCATGAGAAAATAAATCATGGACCCAAATCAGAAATGGGAAAAAAAAATGCCACTACTCCCTGGAAACTTCATTTGGTGGGGAGGGGAGTCATAGCCACTGACATTCTATTTACAGTACCCTTGCTCGGAGAAAGATTGAAAATAAAAGAGTATTCAAAATTCATATTTTATTACTTTCATGAGTGAAAAAACACAATAGTTCAGTGCATTATATATATATGTACATTACCGTGTTTAAATACTATCATGAGACTATCCCCACTTCACCCCAAACAGCTTGGTAAAACCACATTCCACTTTATCCCACTCTGTCTTCCATCTATATTTTGGTAGAATAATTTGGTCAGACACCCAAAGGCCCTCCCGCTAATGAAGCTAGGATCTACTAAGAAAAGTCTGTTTATAACTTGCCTTAGCATCCATCAATGACAAAAAGAGTTATTAAAGTCTGAAACACCTCAAACTCAGAAGAACGGGTGAGAGAGTACCAGAGGCCAACGAAGGGTTAAAATAGCTGATTTCTGGTTTAGGAAAAGGTTGCGACACAATCTTTTAAGGCAAACACCTGGAGGGGGGAAAAAAGTAGTATTCTGTTTCCACCTCAAGAAATTGCAGACAAACCTAAAGCAAATCACATCAGTGGAATACTCAATTAACCGAACATGCTAATTAACGATGTGTAATCAACCCGCTTTCAGGCCCGTCTTCACCTGCTGTAATTTTGTAGTACATCGCCTTCCTCATTCCTCATAACCGGTAGAACATTAGACAGTCTGCGTGGTGCATCAAAGGGAAACAAATAAGCACAGATTTTTGCTGATGGCAGGAATTTCTCATGCTCAGGGCATAGGAGCCAACAATATGGAAACGGCAGCACCGGCTGTATATTTTAATTATTCCCCGTACCTATTCTGCAGAAGAGACTTAAAGTTCGATTAGATGATACGATACTCAGGGTTATTTCATAGGACTGAGCACACACAGTCATTTAAAGTAGTAAATATGCAGTCATGACAGAATTAAATATTCATGAAATCAAGAGCCACTGGAAAGCGGAAGATATCAGACTATTAAAATTCATCATAGTTTTTACAATGTAAATCCTGTATGCATTTGTAAGGCACTTCGGTTGGGTCTAATGTGTGTCCAGATTCCAGGTCCATGGTAAGGCTGCTATTCATAAATGACAATACTGATTCAGGCAGATAAACAGCAATGTCAGTCCTTACCTCAGTTTCAAAATGCAAAGCAATCTGGAACATTTGCAAACACCAACTTGTTAAGGGAGCTTGTCTCCAAACACAGAACGGCAACACTCAACATGATCCCCGAGCGTTCTGGATGTTTGTGTAATCCACTAGTACCTTCGGAAAGGTCCGAAGAAACCAAGGCAATCTTGGAGGAGGAGCACTCACCGGAGCACTCACCCTCACCACCCACCGCCAATTCTTTTCTAACCAGACAAAGTGGCTATTTGGTTGCACGCTTCCTTAAGTGATGCAGAGTGAGAAAGTGTACCCACAGACCCTTCTTTGGTTCCAGTATTCCCGTCTGTTGCACCAACTCCTCCCCAACGTCAGCAGTCCGCTTCAAAACGTATTCACAAATACATGTGTACACCTGACCAAGATACAGCTAAACAACACCAGCCTCCATCCCACAAAACGGACCTCCACGCGTGAACGGAAACATAGGCTCAGAGACAAAGCGGTGGTAAACGCACTCAAATCGTACTACCAGAGCACGGTTTTCTACACCGGTTCCTTGACTTTACAGTTTCCCCCAGAAGAAACATCAGCACCAGAGAATAACAGCATGTGAGCCATTTCTTACCGGCATCCAATTACTTGCAGAACTCCGCTGTCCACAGAAAGAAGTAGCTATCCCCTGGTCTACAATGACACAGCAGGGCTGCAAAAGATTCCCAGGGCTCAGCTGCTGCCAGGCACCTGGCCCCTGCCCTCCTAGCCAGGAGGGGGCCAGCTGAGGAGGAGGGCCTCGAGTTTAGAGCTGGGTTAGGCAGTGCTCTCCATTCTGCAAATGAGCCAAACTTTGCTCCCATTGTTGCCATCTTAAGGTTGATGTCACCTCCCTCCAAGGAGTCTCAGAAGCCACTTGGCAGCTCCTGAAGACACGCTTCCCCTTGACCTACATCATCTAGGGAAGCCTTGGTTACACGGTGTGGGCGAGCAAAGGTCTCCCGACACGGCTCTGCTGAAGTGCCCCGCTCCACCCGGGCATCACATCGCATGTACCCGAAGACTTTTCTCTGCACACACCTCTGAATACGGAAACCAGGGCAGGCTCCGGCACAAGCCTTCCAGTTCGGAAAGTCCCTCTCGGCCACCGACTTCCCTCGATCTCACGCGTTCCCCACACCTGCAACCCCCCACCGCCACACAAACGAAGGAGGGGGGAGGGAAGCGGAGGGGTTAAAGTGACTGCCACTACTAGAGATCCTCGGTTTCGTCCAAAAGGTGTCACAGCTCCAACACTGTGGACCTACCTTGCTCTCTCCTTTCTCGCTGCTGGGTCTCGCCTCGGGATCGTCGCTGTCCTCCACGCCCGCACTCTCGCCGGGCACTTCATCCTGAGCCAGCTGCTGCTGCTGCTGCTGCGGCGGCTGCGGCGGGGGCTGGGGCTGGGGCTGGGGCGGCTGTGGCGGCTGTGGCGGCGCCTGGCAGGCTCCGCCAGCCCCCTGGGAGCGGGGGATGGGCTCCGGGCGCGGAGAAACTCCCTCAACATCCATCTCCATCTTCCCATTCACTGGAGGGCAAGACAAAAGCGGAGCGGGGACTTGGCAGCGGCGCCCGGCGGCTCCTCAGCTGCCCGTGGCACGCATGGCTCGCCGAGGAGGGGCCGCCTCCCGCGCGCCCTCCCTCCTGCCGCCCTTCGCCCGCGCTCCCCGCGGCTCCGCTCGCCCGCTCGGCTCCGGCGCTGGCGGCGTCTGGGCCGGGGCGCGCAGGGCGCGGGGGGCCGCGTGTCCTTGGAGCGGTGGCCTTCGGGCGCCCCCGGCAGCCCCGCTAAGCAGAGCGCATCCCGGCGGCGGCGGCGGCGGCGGCGACGCCTCCCAGCCGCGCGCCCAGCCCCGGGGCCGCCCGGGGACTTGCTCTCCAGTCGGGCCTCCAGATTCGCGGTGCTTTCCAGCCTCTCCTGGGGCCCCTCGGCGTCTCCCCTCCCCTCCAACCTTCGGAACAAAGTTACTGGAAGAACGGCCGGGCGAAAACGGACAGGAACGGGCACTGCCAGGTGCGCGTGAGCCCTACCATCCCCGCCCGCCGACCAAGCGCCGACCCCTCACCTTCGCCCTCGCCCCGGCGCCGAGGAGCCCAGGCAAGGAGGGGTTTCCGACCTGCGCCAGGTGGCGGCGGCGCGGACTGGCGGGAGGGGAGCGCGCGGAGGGCCGGGGGCCGGCGCGCCCACCCCCGAGGCCGGGCGACCCCCACCTCCACGCCGGCCGGCTCTCCCCCGCCCCGCCCCCCCCGCGCCGCGCGCGTCTCCGGGGTCAACCCTCCGGAGCGTGCGTGAGTGTGTCCCCGGGCTCCCGCGCCTCTCGGTGTGCTCAGCCGCCGCCGGCTCCGCGCCGCACCGCCCGGCGCCGGAGAACTGGAGTGAAGAAGCGGAGCCGGCCGCCAGCTCCGGGCAGGAAATGCACCTACCCTCGCCTCCGACCCGATCGCGGGCAGGAACCGGGAAGGGGTGGGGCCCCGCGTGGACAGAGAGGACGCGAGGCTCGCGGCGCGCCCCAGTCGGGCGTAAAGGTCGGCCAGAGAGGGTCGATGGGGGAGGCTGAGGGCGAAGCCGCTGCCAGGCATTGACTGCAGTGTGTCCCGGGGTGGGCGCCAACTGGGCGCCGCCGCTCCCAAGCGGCGAGCCCTCCAGTGCTGGAAGGGCGTCCTCCGCAGGGCAGGTCTCCAGGAGGTTCCGGGGGTGACCCCAGGCCCGGCGGCGAGCTGCGTCTGCAAATATAGACAGATAGAGGTGACAAGGGGAGACTTGGAATTTCTGAAATCGGGGCTCACCGACAGTCAGGTGATCAGCATGACTTCTAAATTTACCACCACTTGGTCCTGGGGAGTAGCTTACAACTTCCCGGGAACTGCTACTGCCAACTCTGCACTTCCAGGCGGGACCCTCCAGCAGCTATGGAGAGAAAACAGCAGATTATTAAGAACCTGTTTAATATTAAAAACAGCCCATTGTTCTGGGCTTTGCGTTCCATAATGCCCCCAAATGGATCAGCAGATAAATGAACTATTCATGCATTTCTTAGCAGAAGGTGGCTTTTTTTCCCCCTTGTCCTATTATGTATCACGCATAACGCTCACCTAATGAAACTAGAAAATTGCATTGTTCGTGACTGCTGTGCACTAACTTGAAGACAACTTTTCTATATCAAGACACACTGTCTCAATACATGCAGTTACACAATGACCGTCATTAGGTCCTATCCTTCAATGCACTCTCTTAATCTCGGGCTCTGCCTGTACGTGTGACAAATTAATTGCCAGTTTAATTTAATCTGTGTGGACAGCCAATCTGGATATTGCAGTATGAGCATGCTTTTGGAAAGAAAAAGTTTGGGGACGGAATTACTCATTTGCTTTTCTTCAGAGTTTCTGAAAACTAGATTTCAAGCTTATTTTCTAATTTGAGAACTTGTTAAAAATAAAATGAGCTTGTGTTAGTCTGAAATCCACTATACCTTTAAATGACATTTGACCCTTTATGTAGGAATATACCAGCCAGATATATATACAGAGTATTGTGCCTCTAAAGAAGTACTTACTCCCCATCTCCTCCCAAGAATATTGTTATAAATCAATGCTTACAGTATTTTTACAACAGTAAATTAGATTATCTGTGTAAAGTGCTTAGCAGAGTGCCTTAGTGCATAGTGAGCACCCCACAATCATTACCTGTTATGCTGAAAATAGTAAGGTGATAGAAGTTCACTGTGAGCACTCATCTAAGGACCTTGATTTAGGAAGAAGAAATTGTCAGCTTAATCTTTTTATATAAATTATTCTCAAAGATATTTGGTATCTTCAAAGAATGAAGCCCTTTCTGAAGACAGGAAGAAAGTTGGAGTGGTGTGGGGTGGTGTTTTGTGCAATAAAGTTTTGAATTCGTCAGATTTCCCTTCCAGTGTAGAAGTAAAACTTACATGTCAGGCCCAACAGGAGCTGGAACAGCTGACTGGTAAATTATTATTCTTACACGCTTGTCACTTTCAGATGTATTTGTGAACTTCTTTCAAGGCTTAAATGAAGATTAAATCAAAATAAAGATACAATACTTCTACTAAGTTTGTTCTAAATTTAGGCATGTGCTTGCAAAGTGTCCCACTGTTAAATGCAAATATTTTTCTTTCTCTGCCCTTCTATTTTTTGGGGACACAGGGTTTTTTTGCATCTGTCATAAGTAAATATGGGCTCAGAAAATATATTACATTTCAAAACTGTTGATTGCACCTAATTATGCATGTAAATTGCTACTTCAAGCATGCAGACAGCTTGCAACATTTTGAAAATTTTGCCCCAGTAGTCATCTGAGGTATTTGTGGTTACTATTTTGCTTTTGCCTTAAATGACTTCATTCCCGATTAGCTTCCCGATAGTGATGAATCTATGAATAATTTTGACCTTTTGATGTCTCTCTTTCAGATGATTCAAATTAGCAAATCAGAACTTTCAACAAAATCACCCCTCTTATTGTTCATACCAGACCATTCGGTGTTTTGAGTTATTGAAATGAGAGTTTACAAAAAGGTGTCCCAAAAGAACCATCTAACCCCTTGCTACTCAAAATGCGGTCAGTGGCCAGGTAGCATCTCACCACCTGTATTGTCAGAAATACAGTCTCGGGCTCTACCCCAGATTTGCTACATCATAGTCTGCATTTTAACAAGATCCCCAGGGGATTCCTACCACATGTGATTTGGAGAAGCTGTAATACACCACATAGTTGGTCTTTCTACAGTATAATTATCTTTGGCACTATTCTAAAATACTACTGGAAGAGACTTATTAGGAAAACGCAATCGTAGAAACTTTTTTCTTTTCTTTTTTTTTTTTTTTTTTCTTGGTCAAATCATTATTGTCCCTTCCTGCCTTCCCCTCCCAGGATCTTAATGTTGCATGATGAGAAGGTACACAAGAATGTAACTATATTGTGTATCTGATAATGGATTAGAAGTATACAATTTTCTCACATCGAAAAAACGCTAACCTGGGCGCCTGGTTAAGTGTCTGACTTCTGCTCAGGTCATGATCTCGCAGGTTCATGACTTCAAGCCCCTCATCAGGCTCTGTGCTGACAGCTCAGAGCCTGGAACCCGCTTCAGAGTTCTGTGTCTCCCTCTCTCTCTGCCCCTCCGCCACTCATGCTCTGTGTGTCTCTCTCGCCCTCTCTCTCTCAAAAATAAACATTAATTTAAAAAAACAACAACAACAACACTAACCTAAAAAGGAAATAGCATTTTAGCTTGAATGATAAATTTTATGCAAACATGTAAAACTAGTTCCTTGAATTGGTTACTTTTGACCTTGAGACTTAAAAGTCCAAGTGTGGTTTTCCCTCCTCTGGCAGGATTATTGATAGCTTCTGTTACAATGGAGGCAGAAAGCATCAAGTTCATGGGATGCAATGAGATGCAATGAACGTTTAAGTAATTTGGCATAACAATGGACTAGATTACTTTAAAGAATTTCTTTAAAGAACATACATGTAGATCAATAAATTATTGCTTTAAAAGGTTATCCAGTGGACCTTGAGGGTGTTATGCTGAGCAAAATAAGCAGGCAGAGAAGGACAAATACCATATGTTTGCACGTATAGGAGGATTAGGAGGAACTTAATGGAGGACCATGGGGGAGAAGAAGGGGGGAAATAGTGGGGGAAAGGGAGAGAGGCAAACCATGAGAGACTCTTGAATGCTGAGAACGCACTGAGGACTGATGGGTGTGGAGGGGGAGGGGGGATGGGCATGGAGGAGGGCACTTGTGGGCCCTGGGTGTTATATGGAAACCAACTTGACAATAAACTATTTGTAAAAATAATAATAATAATAATAATTAAATGAAAAAAAAAGGTTATCCAGTACAGTAGTTCTCACCTTTAAGGTACATGGTTTCTCTTGGGGAAAGCTGTTGAAAATGCAGGATATGGGTCCAGAGGATCTGCATTTCTACAAACTTCCAGGTTTGTAGACAGGATTTGGGCCAGAGAATCTGCATTTCTACAAACTTCCAGGTAAAGTCAGTGCTTCAGGTTCTCAAATCTAACAGACTTGCTTTATCACCATCAATGGTTGTTAAATTTTAATCACTTTGGAGAATCATCTCTTGGAGACTTTTTAAGTCTGTGATGCCCAGGCTATCCACATACACACACACACACACACACACACACACACACACACGCCAGACAAATTCGACATGAATCTTTGAGGGTGAGAGCTAGGCACCAGTAGTTTTTAACCTACCCAGGTAGTTATGATAGCAAGCCAAGATTGGCAATCAGTGCTGTAAATCCGTGATTGTCCAAGCGCAGTCCCCATAGCAGCAGCAGCTGCAAGAGGGAGCCAGATAGAAATGCAGACTCTGGCCCCGCTGCAGCTGGCCTTGCGGCATACCAACTCAGTATCTACACTGTAAGATTCCCAGGAGATACAGTCGCACGTTTAGAGTCTGAGAACCACAGCAGCGATGTGATCACAGCTCCTTTATCTCTTGGCTCTTATGGGGATCTAC